TATTGGTATCGCTATTGCTATTGCACTTGCTGCAGAAACGCCATTGAAAGATAAACACTTGTAATGCGAAAGTGTTTTCGAACCCAAAGCTCTTACACAATGAGCCATGGCAACAGCAGCAGCAGCAGCAGCAGCAACATCAGCCATAACAGCAGCAAATGCAACACTAAATGCAGCAGCAACAATAACAGAAACAATGCACTAAGGAAAAGAAGATGTTAATAACATTTAAATGGTTTTATATTAGAAGGATTTTTATAGTGTATTTCAAAATAGAAAGTAAAAGTAAAAAATTTGAAAAATAGTTTCCCATAAAAACAGCTTGCAAAATGTACTCCCCTTTCTATTAGCCCGTTCTCTCAGTGTAGCTACAAAACAAACGCTAGGCACACACACGAGTTGTTAAGTGGTTGAAGTATTGGCAGAGCCTTCAGTCAGATGAGTAGGTGGCAAGGGGCAGAAGGGGTGGGGGCATAATCGGGAGAGGGGCTCTAAGCTGCGAAAGAAAGTTGCAATCGCAGCTGGGGGATTTTATGGGATTTTTTCTTCTGGGTGCCTCAGAGGGTGGATTCCAGTTCAGAGTTTAGGTCACTGTAAAGGATTTGAACTTTGTGTTAAGATTGCTGCCAAGATCCTCGATCGGTAGTTAAGATAGTGCTTGTGTTTTATGCATTTTACATAGCATGTTTATTGCAATGTACTATAGATGTTTATATCTATGAAACTGTCGGGGTTATGTAAATAATAAATAAGGAAATAATACAAATTTGAGATCCATACTTCCTAATACAACAAATTATTCACAAATTATATATAATTTGATTATCAAAATATGTCAATTCCATTTCCATAACTCAATTATTAAGGAATCCGAAATATCTAACATCCCACTCACTGGAATATTTCTCTAAAAAAAATCTTCCACAACTCAATAAGCCTCCATCAAAAGTGCAACCATACACACAGTTTACTCAGTTTCCACTGAAGAATTTCGTATTAATTTGTTTAACAACAAAAAGTGTATAATAACTCAAAGTAGCGGCAGCAGCTGCCCTGCCTCTCCCCCCCTACCCCCTACCATTTCCACCCACTTCACCCTCAGTTGGACACCTACGCGTCTCAACCATTTTTCACTCCGCACGATGCCAAAACGTCTACACGTCTACGTCTATGTCTGCTGGTCGCTGTTTCTCCACCTCTCCGGCTTTTTCGCCAGATAATCAGTAACAAATAACAAATGCAAGAGACCCAAAACAAGGGGAGCAAAAAGACATGAGAGAAAAATGCCGGCAGAAACCGGCTTTTCACAGACCCTCTCTCTCTCTCTTTATTTTTTGTTTTCCCGTTTTCATTAGAGAGGCGCCTAAATAAATGAATGAAAAAATAGTAGAAAAAATGCGAGAGGAATGCCGACGAAAAAAAGACAGGTGAAGGCGTACGACAGCGGCTTAATCAATGCAGTTGGACGAGATCAGTAATCGGTGATCACCTGGCGATCAACGATCAGCGATCAAAATTGATTGACGAAAGTCAATGGGCGCACGCTCACAATCAATTAAGTATTCGGACATTGAGGCGAGGCGATAAGATCGATCATTTCATTCCGTCGTGGGAGAGGATCGTTTGTGCCGATCGTTGAGCGATCATTGACAGCAGATCGGCACTAGTATATATATATATAATCTAATCCTCCCGAGCTGTATCCGAAACATTTGCATAAGTGCCAATTGACTGATCGCCGTCAACGATCTGTGAATTTTATGGGCATGTCCATGGGATACACCGAAAAAAAGGATCAGGGGATCATATAAATCTAAAATCATATTTTTAATACTTTATTTAAATCAATGGTGATTGGAATGTAATTCCTTTTGAGAAGGTATTCTTAAGAATAAACAAATAATTTTAAGCATTAAAATATTCATGCAATGTGATTATTATATTTGTAGAAAATTTTTAAAATTTAAAAACAAGATAAATATAATACCTTATAATATATACATTTTTCCCCTGTCCAACTGGGCTTTGTTTTATGTACACACATGATAATGGCTTTTTGCCAAGTTTGATTACGATAAACAAGATCATGATGCATTTGAAAGCCCAAATTGTAAAATCTCTTTAGAGAGTCCTTTGCATCGAAAGTGAAAGTAATTCCCCGACCAGAGAAAGATTCGCTCGCCGATCACCTGCCAGATACTATACACAAACTCCTATTACTACATATATATACAGTCTCTAACAGCAAATGTGTGAAATGACTGGAAGGCCGAAAATGGATTTTGATTCTGTTGACTGCGTGCTACCAACTCGGCTTCGAAAAAAAAATTTATTTATGTCAGTCAGGAGGCTTTGGCGAAAATTGTCTGAGGAAAATGCAAAAAATGAAAGTAAATTTCGTACTGATAAAGCCATTTACGGGGCCAGACAGACACAAACATGACATCAAATCGAAGCCAGCTATGATTCGATCCCATTTAACACTTTTACCACCCTCGATAAAGCAGCGCACTAAAAATCAAGTCGCAAACGATATGGTAATATGTCGAACGGAGCCTTTAAAGGATCTGCAAATTAAAGCTGGCGACTTGATACCTCGTAAAGGCGAAGTGTTAATAGTAGTTTGGGACCATAAAATTAAAGATCCGTAAAAGACTATCGTAGGAATTGTTAATTTAACTTAAAGTCTCACATATTTTAAACTGAATATATATGATTTAGGATCAGTAAGGCCTCCAAGTAATCGGTTTGATAAAAGCGTTCCTTGACTTAATAAAGGAAATTAAGTTTTAGGATCAGTAACTCAATATAAGGTATATTGAAGTCTAAAAAACAAACAGGTTCCTTTTCGTTTTATCTAATATTTTCATAGCCACTTGTGACACCCACAGTGCCGTCGTAAACCGTAGCTTCGAATTTTTTCAACTTTTTTGGGATGAATGAAATGGCCGGCCACCAATAGATAGGCCCAGACTGACTGACGGAGGAGGCATTTAGAAAGTACACTCACGGAGGGGGAAAATAAATTGAAAAACTGTAAAGCAAATTACCGGCAAAAGGCATTGTGACAAGACAACGCGTGGGTGATCGCCGGAGTTGGAGTTGGAAGCTGCAAACTGCGCTGGATTGGAATCGGTATGGAAATGGCGTTGGGTTCGGGGTACGGACACTGGGCGATCACGTCTGGACAGAGACAGTTTCGTATATAATTCACATATAGTTTGGCCCCCGGTTACGAAATGGACGCGTATGAGTTATTATTTAAAATATTTTACCACATGTCGGTTTAACTGCTAAAGCCTAATAAACCCAGGGCTATATATGTGTGCATTTAAATTGGCGAAAGGAATTTCTAGAAATTGGGAGGATTAAATTAATCAAAATATATTTAAGCATCACTTAATTATGATTAATTTAAGACTTTAAACTACAATAGTTTTTCTATAGTACTAAAAATATATTAAGGAAAAGATTTCAAGACGTGATCAGTAATCAAGTCATCACCCCTAAATAATTACGCAAATAAACAAAAAACGATTAGCACCTTTCAAAGTCAAGTTCATATTGACCCATCGAACGATGAGGATGCACATAAAATAAAACTAAACCGATAAAATCCAGAACTAGATAAGATTACTTAATGACACCAGCAAAGTTCTATAAATAAACCTCAGTTACGTAGCAACTGGCAATTACTGCACTTAATCAATATTAAGTTGTGGGGGTAAGACTCTATCAATGGAAACGTAAACAAATGAATGTGGTTTGTATACTATATATATAGTACTATACTATATGCAGCGTACGAGCGTAAAAGCAAAACAATTATCAACAATTGTAAGTGCATTTGCAACCAGTCACAAAGATTAACGACGTGGCACCGTCGCGTGCAAGTAGGTAAACAGAACTCGGGAAAAAGCCTGAGAAAAATTCAATATAATCACAAATGACTATGACTTAAATAGTATCATATAGCCCATCGATAATCATATTATTGGACAGTTCTATTTATAGGTAACAAAAGCAAACCGCCAGCAAAACATTCAACGATGACCTTGCCAGCGAGCAAATGAGTGAAAGGCGTCTTTGATCTCACCCAGATGTTGATGGGCTGCAGCATGTGAACAAAGTCGTGCCTACGAATTCAAGACGTGCCAACAACAAGCCCAGAGTACTGATAAGGTTAGTCAGGAAACAGAAACAGAAGAACCCCTATATAATAATAAGAAGCGAATAGCTTTAATACAGCTGATAACAACACGAGTTATAGGAAGATGGCAAATGCTTGGGATCCTAATCTTTTTTCTTGGACAAAATAAATAAAACATTACTAAGATGTAATTTACGCAAAATTAGTAGAATTTAAGGCTAGTAATCCATAGAAAAAATTGTATACATTTGTTGGGTATTCAATTTCGCAATGCAAAAAGTGCTGACGGACACCAAAATAAATTTTTTCTTTCTTTGTTTTTCAGAATTTAAAATCCAGTCTTTTAAGAATGCTGAAAAGGAAAATGGCAGATTGGAATAGAACGTTTTGCTATCTTTTATGTCTTTTTCTGTAGTTTCTTTCTCCGGACTTCGGAAAAATAAATTAAATTGTCTTTTGTTGTAGCCCTCATGTTTGATTTATGTTCAAGTTCAAGCAAATAAGTCACGTCGATTGGAAAATATTTTCGTATTGATAACAGAAATTGCCTCAGCGGGAAATACTTCCCATGGACACACGTCAGTGGGTCACAATTTAACTTATCAGCTAAAACCCATTGGTTCATAAGTCAAGTGCATAAGGTGTACAAACAACAGAGGGTCTTAAAGAAGTGCTCATTAACTAGTTATTATTAATAAAAATAAAACATGATAACTTTCAAACCACTAACAAAACAAAAATGCACAACAAAACAATATTCTTTCATCATATGGCATCTTTTTTTTCCAACGTAATCCTTATATAACCACTATTATACTGACCGCAAGTGTAGGATCAATAAACCACTCACCTTTCTTCCGCCTGCGGTTGTTGTAACTGCGGCGATTGCTTCTCCTCCTCCAGTTGCTTTGGTTGCTCTAATTGCTGCGATTCACTAAAACTATGCACTTTCCCGGCACTATTACGATTATTATAATTTAATTGATTATTTGGCACTTGGGCGGTGGATGAGGAGGCGTCACCATCAGCCGCTAAATCGAATTCACTAACATATTCACTATGGCTATTTGCACGATAATGTGCGGATAACGAAGGCCGTTCTTTCACGGGCACTGACGTGTCCCCAACTTTTTGCAAATTGCCAGTTTGAGACTCTTCCTCCGATGAGGATGTTGTAATAAGGTTTAACACAGGGACTTCACCACCATCTGGAGTGGGTAATAGAACTCCATATCCTTCGTGGAGTGGCGGGGGCGGGGGTTCAGGTTTTGGTGGCGCCTCCGGTTCCTCCGGATTTATGTGGGTTTTCCGATCAGCATCGGTAAGTCCCTCGGCTGAACCGCCATCGTTACTTTGTGTTTGTGCGTCTGCAGCTGCCACATTGTCGTACAACCAGAAACAGCAGCTGCAAAACGGAAAAACCACTTAGAAAACACTCCATATACAGATAGTCTTTTGAATTCCTCACCTTAGCAGTAGATTTATGTACATAAAGCGCACTAAATGCAGTCGCATGTGCATCGTTTTGCTTCCTTTAACTTAACTTAACCGCGGTTAATGCTCAATTGACTATTTTACTATTTTTGCAAACTGGCGAGGCACACGTTTGCTAAAATATATATGTAGTCCCGCCAGCTATTTTGTCATAGGTGTAGTAGGCAACGATTTTTCGGCGACCGAAAATTCTCTAAGTACTAACACGTATTCAAATCCATAATTAGTTAGTTTAAATAATAATAATAAATTAAAAAGCGCTGCAAAAAATGTCAACGCGCACGTAAAACAACAAAAAACTGGCGATGGCCTTACCAAGCGATTGGCGTGCTATCGAAGTAGCAGCTATTGGATTGAAGAAGTCACAGTTATCGCCGAGGTCACAACTTCTTATCGATTACACTGGTGGACAAGTTATTTGAGTTTGTTTACCTAATCACATATAAAATTTACTCTTTATATATAATTATTTCAGATTTTTTAGTTTGATTTCTGAATATTTGATATTTTAAAAATTGTCAACAAACTTGTTTTTAATAAAAAAAAAAAACATCGTTTCAGCATAAGCATTTCACTTGTAGCTCACTGTTATCGATAGACCATCCATACAAGTGTTTTTGTTTGTTAATATCAAGCGCTTGGAAATAAATCAAAATAAATAGGAATTAGGTGGAAAAAAGCTCTGAAATGTCCTTCCTACGCGGCTCTGTGAGCTATGTGTGGTGCACCACCAGTGTCCTCGGAAAGGGAGCCACCGGTTCTGTTTTCCAGGTAAAATTAGATTGCGTTCCCATTTTCCTGACTCACTTTCCTTTTGAATTTTCCTTGGCTCTTAGGGGGTCAATAAAATCACCGGCGAATCGGTCGCGGTGAAAACCTTTAATCCCTACAGTCACATGCGGCCGGCAGATGTTCAGATGCGGGAATTCGAGGCATTAAAGAAGGTCAATCACGAAAACATAGTGAAACTACTGGCTATTGAGGAGGACCAGGAGGGACGCGGCAAGGTGATCGTAATGGAGCTCTGCACAGGTGGCAGTCTATTTAACATTCTTGACGATCCGGAAAACTCGTACGGATTGCCAGAACACGAATTCTTGCTGGTGCTGGAGCACCTCTGTGCAGGAATGAAGCATCTGCGAGATAACAAACTGGTGCATCGCGATCTCAAGCCCGGAAATATAATGAAGTTCATCTCTGAAGACGGGCAGACTATCTATAAACTTACTGACTTTGGCGCTGCCCGAGAACTGGAGGATAACCAGCCTTTTGCGTCTCTATATGGCACCGAGGAGTATCTCCATCCTGATCTCTATGAACGAGCTGTGCTGAGAAAGTCCATCCAGCGATCATTCACCGCTAATGTGGATCTGTGGTCGATTGGGGTTACTCTGTATCACGTAGCCACTGGAAATCTGCCTTTTAGACCTTTCGGGGGAAGGAAAAATCGAGAAACCATGCATCAAATTACCACCAAGAAGGCATCCGGGGTGATTTCTGGTACACAACTGTCAGAAAATGGACCCATTGAGTGGTCCACCACCCTGCCACCGCATGCACATCTATCTCAGGGATTAAAAACCCTTGTGACTCCTCTTTTAGCTGGCCTTCTCGAGGAAAATAGGGAAAAAACCTGGTCTTTCGATCGCTTTTTCCACGAGGTAACGCTCATTCTCCGTAAGCGTGTTATCCATGTGTTCTTCACTAATCGCACCAGTTCGGTGGAAGTATTTCTGGAGCCCGATGAACAGATTGATAACTTCCGGGAGCGAATTTTCCTGCAGACTGAGGTGCCGCTGGAGAAACAGATACTACTGTTTAACAACGAGCACCTAGAGAAGAAGGTCACTCCACGAACCATAGGTAAGTCAATAACCCTTTGAAATATTTTGTATGGCTTTTAAAATTACTTATCCATTTTCAGCTAAAGCATTCCCTGTCACCACAACAGAGCAACCAATATTCCTTTACAGCAACGACGATAACAATGTTCAGTTGCCCCAGCAATTGGATCTTCCCAAGTTCCCAGTATTTCCTCCTAATGTGTCTGTTGAAAATGACGCCAGCTTGGCTAAGTCCGCTTGTAGTGTTGGTCACGAGTGCAAAAGACGAGTGGACATCTTTACGTCCATGGATATCCTCATCAAAAAGGGAGTGGAGCATTTCATTGAAATGCTAATAACCACGATAACTTTACTTTTAAAGTGAGTTAAAGAGAAGGCACCTATTTTTCATAAATCTAAGTTGTAATTCTCATTTAAGGAAAACTGAAAGCTTTGACAACTTGCTTTCTACTGTTATTGATTATGCAGATGTAGTGCAAAGCATGGCCAGAGTGGTGAGTAGTTTGCTTAAGAAGAAAGTTTTTACAATGTACCTTATGAAATTTTCAGACAAAGGGGGATCAGGAGCTAAAGGCCCTGCTGACTGCCCTGGAAAATGTAAAAAGCGACTTCGATGGAGCCGCCGATGTGATCTCACAAATGCACAAACATTTTGTCACAGAGGATGAACTAAAGTAGGTTTGCAGAAATATGCATTTAATAAGTTTTATATTGATGGAATTTAAAATTTTGTCGAACAGTGATCAATGGACATCGTCTATGCACGGCAAAAAGTGTCCCTGTAGGACAAGGGCGAGCGCCCAGGCCAAGTACCTTGTGGAAAGGCTTCGCGACTCCTGGCAGCATTTGCTTCGAGATCGTGCCACACGCACGCTAACCTACAACGATGAGCAGTTCCATGCTTTGGAAAAGATCAAAGTCGATCACAATGGCAAGCGCATTAAGGCCTTGCTTTTGGATAATGTAAATCCCACAGTGGCTCAGATCGCCGAGTGCCTTGCTGATTGGTACAAGCTGGCCCAGACCGTTTACCTTAAAACACAAATCCTTGAAAAAGATGTGCGCGATTGCGAGCGGAAATTGAATGGAATACGCGATGAGCTGTATCACATCAAGTCGGAACTAAAACTGGATGTGGACACAAAGACAATAAACAACAATAACCAGCTTGGCCAAGATCGAAGAGCGAAATCGGTTGAGAGTGATGCAACAGCAACAACAGGAAGTTATGGCTGTCATGAGAACCAACAGCGAGATAATAAGTTTGCTTAGCAAACTTGGTATTACAAATGGAGGTCTTGAGAAGAGTTAGAACGAGTGTTTAATTGCTTTTGCTTATGTTGTAAGTTATAAATAAATGTATGCTTTTATATGAAATTTGAAACACATCAACAAAGCCTCTTATTGATATCATAAATGTATAAATAAAATTTTAGGGAATTTAATAATTTATTTGATCATGCTGAAATACAATTTACTTTTCGTTAATAGGTTATTTTTTACGGTAATTTAACTGTCTATACATTAAAAAGCGGACTAGACTTCATGGCACATACAATTTAAAAAATTTAATGCCCTATGGCTAGAATGCAATGTATAATATATAAATTATGTACATTCTCTAAACAAGTTTACTTTTGACGATACTGATGATGATTCTTTCGTATGTTGGCTCCGTGGTGTTGTTGTCGCTGGGAATGTGATTTGGTTGGAATATGATCACCGGCATCCGCTCGGCGCAATACTTCAGCATAGGATAAATCTAGTTTTTTAAGTTTATGTAAATCTTGAGATACCGTATTATGATAAAACTCAACGCCATTTAGTTCGATTACACGGCCACGAGAAGTCTGAGGAGTATTCATATTCTTATTATATATTACCATTGGCGAACCGTTCCAATTGCTTGAGGATGGGGCATTCCGTCTTCGATTGCTGCGTCCGAATTCCGAATTCAATGTATCCGTACACATCTTTGAGCTGCCTTGGCCACCACGGTGATTTATGGCTAGAGGACTGTGTCTGGGAGTGAATTCCCGGGAGTTAAATATTTCGATACGATCTCCTGGAGAGTTTTGGTTTCGGTGCTTTCGCCGGTTCTTCTTTTTGATACCGACACCTACGGTTAAGTATTCGAGGGGTTCCCGTTTAAGTGGAGTAAGTATCTTGCCATTTTCCTTAATCTGTTTAGTATTCGATTCGCCGACAGTTGTTTCCTTAGAAGAGCTATTTAACAAGGTAGATTGCGTATGAGCTGACTGGTTTTGCTGATTACGGACTTCAAAGATGTGCTTCTTGGCCGTTTTGCGTTCCAATTTGGTCACGCACTCCGACATTGCAATGGACTGATTAGATATAACTGAGGACACGACGCTCTGGGTATCATCAATGAATGAATCTGGAGATTCTGACCTTTCGGGTGTTACTGGGGGTACTTGAGCCGGAATCAAGGGTAATTTTTCTATAGCCTGTGCGTCATCATGTAGGGTCGGTAGTTTGTCTACTTCGTTATTATCAGCAGCTTTTTTGAGCACACCGAAGATCTCCTTGAAAAGTTCCCTGTACTCGGGACGATTGCGGAAATGAGATTCAATTGGACTGACATCGTCATAAATACTGAATTTACAATCGTTTCCATTACTAATTGAGCAAAGGAAGAAGCTAGGTCGCTCGTCAGTTTGTGTACATTTGTTGCTAGTTTCATCCGAGAATCCCGACGATGTAGTTTCAGATTCAGAAAATTCGGTTGGAGTGCGCTTACGTGTTGAGTCCAACATAAGGTCGGATTCCTTTGAGCTATTAACAATTGTATCTGGTTTTTTGCTTTGACTTAAATCAGTTATAGTTTTGCCATCAGAATTGCTGGTAAAATTGCTTTTGGCCGCATTTGAGGTTCGCTTTACTTCCACTAAAGCTTCATACTTTTCGACTAGGTCACGATAAGGATTTGGTTTGTCGCTAACGTTAAGATTAAGATCTTCGGGAATTCGAAAACGTTCCTTATAATCCGCAGCACTGTTATCGCATTTCGAGGTGGCTTCACTTAGTATGCTTCGGTCGTCGTCTTCGTAGATTTCTTCGGTTGGAGCAATGGATGATTGATCATCCAAATTGGTATTACTTTCATTAATATCCCTCAGGCAACGACTGCACATTTGACCTTGTCTTACGTCATCCAGAAGGCTAAACTCCTCATGCATTGACATGGTTCCCTCATTAGCACTATTTTCGAGTAGGCGACCTTGGAGACTCTGGTTATCTTGGATTATGGTCACTAACTGCTCCTCCAGCTCAGTGCAACGTTGCTGTTCTCCCAAGAAATCACGTTTTAAAATCTCCATTTCGCTGAGTAGCTTTACCAATTCCTCATTGTCTTCACCTTTAGCGACAGTCTTCTCACACATGGTGGCATTACTAAAAGAGATTTCATCCAGGCCCGTTGAGTTTGCTATTGCCATTGCATCCAGTTTTGAAATTTCCAGATTTTGATCCTTACATAACGACTGAATGCTGTGACTGGAAATAGAACCCTCGGCCGAATGTTGCATACGATAACGTTCCTGCTGATATTGATCGACCTTTCGCCGTTCGGTGCTCAAAGACTGCCGGGCATCGCTTAAAAGTTGATTCAGTTCCTCACAGCGGGCTTCTAAAACTTCCGTATTGGTGGTCAGCGACTTAATTTGCTTCTTATCCCGATTTTTCTCCAAATTAAGCCGCTGATTGGCACGTTCGAGGTCCTGAATACCGACTTCCAATTGCTCGTAAACCTTAAGCCGTGAATCATTCACCTCGGTCATGGCATTAATATGCTTACGAAGGTGCAAAATCTCAAGTTCCTGTTCATCCCCCTTAATTTTGTACTCCTTAATAAACGTTTCCAGTTCCTTATTGCGTTCTAAAAGGGTTTTTCCAAGTTCGGCAGCTAATTGTAGGTCATCCAACATGAATTGTGATACGTTTTCACAACCAGCCATACTTCTATTGGATTCCTCCATCTTGGACTTGGACCTTTTCAAGCTTCGGCTTAATGAAAAATCTAAAGAAAAAATCAAGATTTAATCGATTTTAGTTGATTTTGCAATTGAGCTTTTGAGAAGAACTAAGAATTACTTGTCAATTGTCCTCAACGGTGGAAAAACAGCTACAACAGTAACTTTTTTACTGTTTCATCCCCAAAAACAAAAAGTATGGTATTGCGCCGACTGCAAAAAAAAGCCCTACGTGTTTGGTGCAACTGCATTTTTAATAATTAATTGTGGTTTTAATTAACTCAATCGACTGCATAAACAAAATTGAAAAAAAAAAGATTCTTTAGATACCCGGAACTAATTTACAAATAGGATTAATTCTATTAGGGGGACTCCTAAATAATTTTGGGCTTTGACTTAATTTTTTTATGTATCAGGTTACAAGTTAGGTAACTAACATATTACGTAACTTACATATAATAAAACTAATTTTTAAAAACTTTTTTTGTCTAGTTTTCTCTTTACAGATCTATTCTGGCTAAAGTATTTTATGATATATGTTTATGTATTGTTTTTGTGTAATTTGACAATTTAATGTATTTCTCATAGTTTCATTATGAAACTTTATACAAACTCTAAACGAAATACGTAACATAAATAAAAGTTCTATTTACATATTAAATAATTTATGTTTTAAATTTAAAAGTTACAAGACCTTGTGATGTTAACTTGTCACAAGTAGGTATTAATAGACAAATCCAGCCTGGTCACACTAATACCCCGGCATTCTTGTTTTGATTTTGTTTTTCGTCGTTTATTTTGATTTCTCGTAAGGATGAATCCCCCACCATGCTGTACGCTTTAGTGGTGGTAGCGGAGCTTGTGGACCAGTTCCTGCTCCGGCCGGTAGCCAGCGTGATCGATGCAGTGGTCAACGGCGTATACTATTTCCTGTGGGGTAGCTACTTTGTCGGCTATTGCTTGGTGGAGGGCAGCTCTTTGGTGTGGAATTTGGTAAAATGTACGTTCAGCGATATAAATAAGCGGCTCGGCGACTTGCGTCTTATCACGTTGGAAGTGACGGATTACTTGTACGGCGGAACCAGAGGTGGCCTAAAGAGTGCCTGGGATGTTGGCCATAGCATAGGACGTTTCTTCTGCAATTTGCTCATCGAATTGGGCGATTTTATTCTATGGGTTATATTGCTGCTGCCAAGGCTCATAATATTCATCGTGGACAGCCTCGTAGACTTTGTGATTCACTCCATTGTGGCCCGTGGCCTAAGTCTACTAAACAGCTTGTTCCGTCTCTCGATTGGATTATCCCTGTTACTTATTTTATATATGTTTCGCCGCTACGTGTACCTGCTGCTCATCTACCTACTCCAACGTGCCCGTCTCGAAATTTCAATGAAGACGCAAAGCGTTTACCTCTGGACTGATCAGCAGTTGACGCGTTTTAGGAAGAATATAAGAAACGATCAGGAAAACGCTGAATCGCCCAATCGCGGAGGATGTGTGGTCTGCATGGAACGCAACAGGAACATTGTGATCATGCCCTGCCGGCATCTCTGCCTCTGCAAGGAGTGCTCGCAGCAGTTTCGACTTCGTCTAGAGAGTCGCTGTCCTGTTTGTCGCAACGACATTATATCATATTTGCCTGTCTACATTTAAAGCTACGCATTATGGAACTTAATTAGAATATAATTTTGTATAAGACTGCCAATTGAAATATATAAATATATATATAAGATAAAGTAAGGGAACCAAACGCATTTGGTTTAAGTCAACCTAGATAGAAAACTAACCTTAAAATCCTTTAAATAAGAAAATATATTTACAAAGACACAAAAGAAAGGAACATTCTAATTGACATAAAGCTTTAACATTAAAAAAGGAAGAATATTTCAAAACCACCTCCCAAAAATATCCAAAATAACATTCTAAAACTAAATTGTTTTATGTATTTATTTCAAACCAATGAAAATATACGTTTTGTTTTGTATACATTTATGTAAATACGGTTTGGTTTTTCGTATAACTAATTTGCTCAAAAGACAGATATAGAAAAAACGTTTGTTTTGGGCTTACATCTTTATTTAATTTAAATGTAAATTTAAATCGAAATGAAATGATTTGCGCTTTGCTTGGTATCGTATTGCAGAGTTATTTGAATTGCAAGTTATAGGTATTTTTTTGTTATCATAACACTCATATGCGTACTGTTTTGGATACTTAACTTTTAAATGAAACGATCAAATAAGAGTAAAATTACACAACGAGCTATATAGCATCGGTATTTCAATCTATCAGATAGATCTATGTTATAGCGTCTTTAGGTTTCACCTCTCATTTCATTCTGCTCGTCGCTAGTAGAAGGCGCGCATAATTGGGTTGGATATATAGCTTAAGTTATCTGTTTTGTGTGGTTGGGTGAGTGGGAGATATAGCATCTGTTGCACCGATAGACGCGCGATCTATTACGAATAACATTATCTTTCGAAAAAACGTCTAGTTATGCTATATAAATTTAAATTTGTGCCAATTTCTTTTGCTTTTGCTTTTTCATTTTCAATTTGTTGTATAAAGCTTTATGCGCTGCTTCTAGCTTAACTCTATACGTTACTTAGTAAAATATATATATATATATATATATATAATTTATTAAGTGTATATATCAATTTTATAGCAATATTAAAAAGTTCTCGTTTAAAATCGTTTTATCGAAAAATTTCACGTTTTAGGGTTTTTGTTTCATTTCTTGTAACTGTATCTCAAAAAATATGAATCCACACTTGACATTCACGTAGTATATATGTATGCATTTATAAAATTACAAAAGAACAATAAACCAAAAAATATGTATATGTATATGTATATGCTCGCTCCGGGTATGGCCATATATCCAGCTATATAGCTATAGAAGCTATAGCTTTTGTGCCAAGAAGTACATCATAACTTGTAAAAGTTTTCGATCTATTCAAAATATATATATGTATATATATGTTTATATGTATTGTGTAAATATGCATGTAGGTTTGATGTTTCCATGTTGTGTAGGTACAAAGTAGGTTCCTATAGCTAGATATATCATTATAATATTTATATATTCATGTGCATGATTGATATCCAATGTTGTAACGGCTAAAAAATGGCATCGCTTTGAGGGTTTCGAACCCGAACCTATCTAAACGTCTCGTTTCAAACTGTTTTGGTCACCTATTCTGTTCCTGTTAAATCCTGTTTTATTATCTTTTCTAACCGTTACAAGTTCAGGTTTAGTTAGAGTTTAGCTATGTTTGTAGTTTAATTTAAGGTGTGTTTTCCCTTATGAAATATTGCTCTATGGTTTCTAAATTTCAACAACTTCCTTAGGATGTATGGTTGAGGTGGCTAAAATCAAATCAAATGGGTCACTTTTGAAGGTCTGAACATTAAGTGTTTAACTATTGTAGTTTTTGTGAATTTTATTTAATATTTTTATTCCAAAATGTCCCATTTAATCTAAATCAACCCAATTATATATATTTGTTTATAGCTTCAGCTTAGCCGCTTGCAGATCATGGTTTATACTTAGTTTAGCTTGGCCTAAGTTCTTCTTAAAGATGGTACAAAATCTAGTTGTCGAACATTTGATGTGCTACATGTACAATAATTTAATAATGATCTACCTAAATTGTATAGTTAATGCGAATTTATTAAACACCTCCTCGCCCCAGGCATGCCAATATGTATGTATATATTAAATAGATTTTTTGTAACACTTGGATTTCGGTTCTACGTGTTCCGTGCACTCGAAAGCTTGAAGAGATATGTTATTCACATTGGTTTTTGTGTTTTTTGTTGTTTTTGCTTTTTAGTTTACATTTAGTTTAATAGAAGTCTTGAATTTTACACATAGAAAATGTCTTTCGTTAATACAAACGTTAATTGGAAAGTTGCTAAAGGCTGTACTTTGAAAATTCCTCATAACATACATTTGAAATATTTGCTATCTAACGATCTTTTTATTTCTTATTTTGTTTTTCGATATCAAAGAAAAGTGGTACGTATAAAATAAACCATACAAAAGTTAGACATAAAAATATATATTTATGCGTGTATATATATTATAGACATATATATATATTATATATATAAATATATATATAGAGTTCAATGCCAATCTATCACAAAATCACATAGAGGGGTTTTTCTATCGAGATAGCACACACACATATAGAGAGAGACAGATCTTAAGATCCCGTAGCGTTTCTTTGAGAACTTAGTTGGAGTGATTTTTTAAGATTAAATAAAGTTTTTCTCTCGTTTGGAACGTACAAACTATGGATATACAGGGGTTTGGGATTACCGAATACTTGGGCTTACTCTAAAGATTATATAGATTAGATCATATATATATATATATACCATATAGCTTATCATATAGTTTGTGTGTTTGTGTGCAACTCTCTCTGTGTCAGACACAATCATCACAAAAAGGTACTTAAACTCTCATTGTGCACTAGTTGGTGCATTGATAAATCGAACAGAATAGTCTTAGCCTATAACTATCAGGAGTCTTAGTCTAGAATTTAACGGAAATACTTGGTTGGGGCTATTAACTTTATGCTGGTCTATATATTAGCTAAGGGCAAGCATGGCTTTGCTTATGATATGATAGTGGATTTCCACAAATTGGCAATAGTTTTTAGAAATTTTAAAGGAAATTTAAAGAAATTAGTTATTGATTAATAATATTCTATCTCAATTTGTGGAACTTATTTTGGGTTATTCTCCAGAAGAGTCTAGTCTAGGGTATAAATTATATAACACTACTGCTGCTGCATGCTTTTATTTATTTATTTATTTGTTTTGCCTAAAACAATTGACTAGAAGTTAGCAAAAAGGCAAGAGAGCGTTCTGTAAAGTCCGTAAAGTCCGTCTGTCCATTAACGCCGAATGTTGAGCAAGCTTGGAGTTCGGGGTTAGAAAGTGTTGCCATTGCGTGTCTAGCGGTTGATTTTGGACAGTTAAAATTAAACAATTTAACAATTAACGTCAACAAGTTGTAATTTCCAGTGATGACGAGTCACGCAGGAGCTGGCTTTACACTGGAAACCCTCTCTCAAATATTCATGTCCGTAATTATCGAAGGAACCAGGGGTTGTCCAACAATCTATCTACCTTCTATACCCTATATAGATATGGCCTGGGTCTGCTTTTTATTTCGGTTTTTTGTTTTTTCGTGAGATTTATTTATTTTCAGGGGTTCTACTAAAGCTAGTTGGGTCCTTCCTATGTATATCTTAAGGGGCATAACTTAGGGCTAGTTTTAAGGAAGCAAAGTTGTGATGATGATACGCTTGATCGCCTTTAGAAGGGCAATGTCGTGACGAACATGTTCTCGATGAGAGCTGGCGCCGGCACCAGATCCTCCAGTTTAAGATAGAAGATCCTTTGCAATCCCTGAACGCTAAGGGATCGCAATTCAGGCAACTTGCCCAACAGGCGACTGAAGTAGTGCTGTTTCTTCTGGGCCTCAGCATTGTAGGTGACATGATCTCGCAGACTGCCGATGATCTTCATCTGCAACTGCTCCACTTTCTTGGGCTCCCGCAGGCCATGGCGTTCTGAACATTACAAAAGTCAAAAGAAAGGACGGTTAGATTTGGAAATATTTATGTAATACAGATGAGGAAGGAGAAGTATATTGATTGAAAATCTTCATTTAATAGAAGTTACCCACCTGTGATCAAAGTGAGGGCACAGAGGCAGGCGAAGGCGGAGATGTCGATCTCCAGGTTGTGCAGGCTATGGCTGAACTCCATGATGTCGTTCAACCACTCGCCAAAGGATCGCAGGCACTGGGAGCGATGAAGCACTGTTCCATTGCAAAAGATCAGTTTGGTATCATCGCTCCTGGCCCGGTAAGCCAGCCTCAGGACGAACAGTTCCAGCGAAGCGCTCTGGAAGAGTAGCTCCTGATCCTCCGGCAAGAGATCAAAATAGCCGGGAATCTTCTCGGCAAACTGTTTGATCACATCCACGGAACTGGTGAGCAGTTGATAGAACTGTTGCACCTTATCCGCCTCGCTCATCGATGGCTCCTCATAGTGGCTATAATCCAGACACGAAGGATCCGGTGTGGTATCCACATGGCTTCGAACCAAGGCCGTAATCAATGAGATGGGCGGTGATGGTGGCGATTCTTGGGGAGACTTCGGCTTCGAGGGGAGTCTTCCTCGTCGTCCCTTGAGGGAATCCGTGCGCACCACTTCCTTGACCATGCCCACAACCAGACACTTTTGGAATCGACAGAATTGACAGCGATTGCGGCGCCTCTTGTCCACTGGACAATTCTTGTCCGCCAGGCAGACGTACTTGGAGCCCTTCTGGACGGTCCGCTTGAAGAATCCCTTGCAGCCCTCGCAGGTTCGCACTCCATAGTGCTGACAGGCAGCGGTGTCGCCACAAACAGCACACAATTGAGACGGAGCCTGGAGCAATCGACCTGCCTGAAGATCTGCACTCGCCGGCGAACTGGCCGCTGAGTTGGGTGCCGAGTTGAGCTGCAGAGGATGGGCATGTGTGTGCCTCTGGCCCAACGTAATCTTTGCCATTTTTGGGCTCTGCACTGAGGATCCAGCGGGCGATACAGTCCTCTGAACCGGGAGCGAAGCTCGACGGACGGGCGGTGGTCCGCCCACTGTTGGGGAGGAGATGGTGGCCGCCGCTGCTGCTTCCACAGCAGCTGTAGCAGCAGCCAACTCGGAAATCGTGGGGAACGTTGGCAAAGAATAGCGCTCGCCATTGTGCGAAGTGTAGTTCTGAAGGGTTGATAAAAGTTATAAATATAGGTTAGTTTAGTCTTAAAAAGCATTGTAAAATAATTTTTCATAGTTTCAAAGTTTTAAAGATTTAAAAAAATGTTTTTAACTTACATGTTGCTGGTAGCTCTGCTGCTGCTGTTGCTGCTGTCCGTAGAAGTTGTCCGTGGCGGAGACGCCATTATATTCATAAAGGGAACTGGCCGAAGAGCTGGGCGACAGATTGGCGCTGGCATTGATAGCATTGAAGTGACCATGATAGTTGTAGCCACCACTATTGTTGTTGTTGTTGTTATTGCCGCCATTGTTGTTGCCGTTGTTGTTGTGGGGATGCGACATTTGGGCCGGGGATTGCAAGGTATGCAACTGCTGGAGCTGGGAAGGAGCAGGTGGACTGGCACTCCAGCCGCCAGAGAGCGGCGGGAAGCAGTCCTCATCCATCTTGAGGGTCAGCACCTGGTCAGTGGGCGTTGGAGCGGCGGTGGAGGAGGAGGATGCCTGCTGGGGGCTGCTCCCACTACTGCTGTTGTACTTCACGGAGTAGGTCTCCTGGAAGCTGGGCAAACTGCTGCCACAGGACAATGGCCCTCCAATGGGCGAGATCAGCTGGAGTTGATGCTGTTGGTGCTGCTGCTGGTGTTGCTGCTGCTGTTGTTGCTGCTGCTGCTGTTGCTGTTGCTGCTGGGCATGCAATGCAATAGCTGGGTCGCTGCTGGATCGCAGACTCAGCAGACAGAGTTGCTGCTCCTGTTCGGAACTCAGTTGCTGCTCTGGGATCGAGGATAATCGCTTGTCTCTCAAGCAAGTTAACTTGGTGAGGTTCTCAATGGAGCTGGTCAGGTCCTCGGCGGGATTGTCTGGGTAGCCACTGGTTGTTGGGGAGAGCAGGGAGTTGTTCGAGTCCGAGGGAAAGAAGAGATCCGAGAAGAGTTCGCTGTGGGAAACCACAGACGAGTCGGTCAGGTTGCTGATCAATTGATCCTCCTCATGGGAGAGCAGCGATTCCGACTTAAGCAGGTGTTGCTGCGGGCTAACAAGGTGTTGCTGTTGCAGATGTTGCTGTTGTTGTTGCTGCTGCTGCTGCTGTTGTTGGTTGTGATGTTGTTGATGGAGGAGGTGGTGTTGGTGGTGTCCAGCTGCCGATGCCGACGTTGTGTTGGTCGTCGAAGCGGTTTGCGTGGAGAAATTATCGAAGGGCGACAATGAACTAAAGGAGCTCTGCAACGAAAGACAGTCGCCCGATGAATGAGTTAGTGAGCTTGCCGTTACCATCTAGATATCCTAGTCCTAAGGGTGGAGTCTAGCTTTTCCTAAATGCGTCATGCGCATTTCCCAAAGCCAATGCCATTGGTTCTTCGCCTGGCAAAGCAACCCCTAAGTAACGGAAAACTCCTCAATGATGATTTCCTAATTGGTTATGCTTATGCCAAAATGTTTTCCCAAAACATTTTCGCACCTAACAATAGCTATCTAATTGTTGTTGCTGCCGCTGTAATTGATCTCCTCACCTCGCCGCAACTTGACTCTTGAGGAGTCACCTCCTAGCAGCTGGCAATTAGCATGGCCATTCATTTTTGGGCTTGCCAAATTTGCATAGATTTTGCAGAGGTTTTGGTTGGTGTGTTTATATTTTGGAAATTATATCTCAGCGGGGGATTGGTTTCGAAATTTTTAAAATATATTCGAAAGGCTTTTAGAACTGTCAATAACTTTTTATTATTTATGAAGTTATATTAATAAGATTGCTAAATATGATCTTTACCTAGTTTTATGAAGATACTTGACCTGATCTTTTGATCTTCATAGTTGATCTTAAGAACACGTTCCATTCCTTGAATAATTTACTTTACATTTTTGACTTTCAATCAAGGCTTTGATTCCTAAACTCCTTCATGTACTACATCTATTTTATGAACTTTTTCTTTTCAAAATGAAAATAATGGTTATATTTTCTTGATCCTCAAACTTACATTAGGTTGCAAAAGTAACATGCTTGTTGTCGCTTGGTTATTAAGCCTCAGTTGGCTGATTTTTGTTGTGTGGATTGCTGCTGTCGCCGCTGTCGTTAATGTTGCTGTAGCGACTCCTCCTGTTCCTGCTGAGGTTGCTGCTGTAACAGCAATTGTCGTTGCTGTCGCAGATGTTGCCGGGGTGCTGGCAGCTACTGTTGGTGGTGCTGCTACTTGGCTGTCGCTGTTGCTGTCAGTTTTCTCGACTTTCAATTTCCCCGCAACGAGTGGTTTTATTTTTCTCTGCTCAATGGATGATGTTGCTAATGCTGGTGTTGTTGCTGCTGCTGCACCTGTAAGGATAATTGAAGGAAAAGGTCTTTTAGCAAATTTAGAATAGTCAAAGTCAAGCGAGCATGAATGCCACACGGAGTGGAGTCTCTGGGGTGAGCTTAATGCTAAATGGCTGGTGAAATGCCAAATCTGCGATGATATGGGCAGATTCATATTGCTGCCGTGCTAATGCTGCCGCTGTACGTTGCCCAATTGTCTCGCGTTCCACACGCAAGCCACCGTATCGAATGTCTTAATTAGAAATGCTCAGTCTCTCAGTCTCTCGGTCTCAATCTCAGTCCCAGGCTCAGCTGTCCACATAATAAATAAATATATAAATGTATATGGATATATTTTGTTTATCCCAATAGATGCCGAGACACCTCCTCATTGTGTCGCGGGGTTGGCCAAGAGGCAAGCTCACGTTGCAACAAAGATGTAGCCACCAAAAAAATCGTTGGAAAAAGCTAAGAGAAACAAAACTAAACGAGGATCACATCTCCATCGTTTGGTTAATGCGGCACATAAAATGTAATAAATTGTGTTGTCCGATGTGGCACGGCTCGCTTCCATGTCTTGGCCACGTTGCGGGTGTTCGGCTTTTGATTATAATAAATATTTTGCCTGATTCGCATTGCAAAATGCTAGCTAAAGTTCGCTTGGCTAGCTTGCCGAAATCATTTTTCATAATTTGCATAATTTATGCAGGAAATTGGACTCGGAATTCTTGACAAAAAAATGTTTTAAATAAATTTAATAAAATTTGGGCGAGCCTACAAATAGCAATTCTGGCATTTAGATATCTATAATCCTTTTCTTAAATATAAAATATAAATATATAAAATGCCACCTTATTTAACCCATAATTTTAGCAAACTCATAAACTGTCAACAAAGTCATTTAACCATTAATTAAACCATAAGCCATAAATATCAGACAAAACCTCAACGAACCTATTATTCACACATGCTCATATACCGGTAATCAACCGATGCTTTTGTCTTTATATATTTTTTTCATTTAATCTTTTTCCAAAGATTTTTCCTCAACTCTTGCTGGCTTCTGGCCGCCTGACTCTTTTGACACTTTTTATCTGCGAGAATTAGTTATAAACCGGCAACACGAAAATAATAATCATAGCCCACCAGATTTTTTGGTTGTTGTAATATTTCCTAACGTGTGTTGTCTTGGCTTGAATTTGACAAATTAATAAATGTTGCTGCGGCTGTCGTGTCAGTTGTCTAAGACAAAACCAAAAACAAAAAAACAAAAAAAAAAAAATGGGAAAAACAAAACAAAAAACGTGGACACAGTTCAAAGAGGGCAGTCATAAAAAAATAATGGAAAAAAGATGGATAGATAAAGACATACATAAATATATACAATTTATAAATATTCATGATAGGTGAATTGAAATATTGCACAAAATTATGTTTTAAGATTGTGGGAAATAAATTAAAAAAATAAATGTATAAAAAACTAAATCAATATAAACGGTCGGTTAATAGAATTAAATGCAGTATCGTAAAGAACCAATAAATCTCTGAAGCATCAGCAGCTGAAAGAACATCTGCAATTTAGAAACAATTTTTACGATTCTACAAGAATTTCCAGTTTTCTTACCAATCGAAAACAAGAATGTAAAAAATAATCAAAAAATCTAAATGCATTCCAAACGCATAACTTGCCTTTTAGATTGTTAATTGCTGAATTTGGCTAAAACAAGAAAAGAACCCAAGCTGAGGATCGTTTATGCTGTTCGGTTGGCTCTCTCTTTTTGGGGCATACTTTGTCAGCGACAAATTTACAGACATTGTAATTTTTAGCATAAAATTGCAAATAGAAATAAGAAAACAAAACTATTTTTATGAGCAACTTTTCTCTGCAAAAAAAAGCTCTAAAAAATGCAAATAATCTGGAAGTCCCACAAGGCTGTTGTAGGACCCACAAATTGCCCATGATATAAGTGGATCTTCTATTTTGCATTGAGCAATTAACTGACAATGGAGAAAAGGTCCGTCGAGTCGCTGGGTATTGCATAAATCAATCAAATTGTCTCTCACTCGGCCGGCTCATTGAGTAATAGATCCAATTTCGATATGAAACAGAAATTGGGTTTTCTTCTCTTCTTTAGGTTTGTGTCTCTATTTTTCTTCTTTTTTTTTTTGCACAACTTTAAATACCAACCCCATTACCCATTAAGCAACAAAGATGGCTAGTACAACAATGAACAACAATTGATGAAAATCGACAATTAATAGTGAAAGTCTAGGCCCAGACGGAGCATCATCATCAAAAGGTACTGCAGGAAGTTAGTTTGTTGGTCGTCCCCAAGACTGAAGACTCCAAACTGCAGACTGGAGACTGTAGACTGGGGAGACTCTGTAGACTGTATAGACTGGGGACTCCTCCATGTCTATTAGGCCATGAGTCTGGCTTTGTCGCTGTCGTGGATTTCAAAGGCGATAGCATCGAAGCCGCCAAGTTTGCAGGCCAAGAAAAAGCGAAAAAACCTGCCCCAAAATGAGTAAACTCCTTTTGGCTCGAGACTGAACCGAACCCGAGACCCATTTGTATACTTCTCACAGATCTTCACACGGCGACGGACTGTGGCACCCACTGACTCAATGACTGAGTGGCCAGGCATGGGCCATTTTGACCCAACCGGCGAAGACGAACCGACTCGCATTACCATTTCTTTGGGTCACTGCACAAGAGATGCTCCTCTCCACCACCAACCCATCCCTGCCCTGTCAATTTCGGCAGATGCCTACATGTCCAGGTCCATTGATCAGGTCCCCAGTGCCTGAGCCAGTGCCTGGGCCTGTGCCTCCATTGCGAGTTCGCAGTTCAAAGTACAGAGCCTGAGTTGAGCTTGCCAAATAATATGTATTAACGATATTATATAAAAAGAAGAAAAACGAAACGTCCAAAAAAAAAATTAGCAAACTTATGCAATGGCCAGGGTATTTTTTTTTTCGCTTTTCTGCATTGTAATAAATTTGTTAACAAGCCAGGCCAGGGAAAAATCTCCCTCGTTGCGAGTCCTAAAAACAATTAGAAAATCCCAGTTTAGTTTTTTTATTTTTTGGTTAGAGAAGATGCAGCCGGGGAAAACTGCATAACCCAACCCAAATTACAAATTTCTTAATGTTATTTGCTTTGGGGCCATAGCCAGACAATGGTTAAAATGGGTAATCTTAAATGTTTATCGCGCACTCTTCCCGGTAGCATTTTTGGCAGTAGCCCACGGTAGTTTTATTCAGCAGTTTTTTGTTGTTAAATTTTTATTTCTATTTTTATTTTCTTTGTTTGCAGATCGAAGAGTTCAGCCAGAGCCGCGTCTTCGATGAATTGCTTTCTAAATGACCCAAGGCCATATTTGGGAATGATATTTCATATTGATCTGGGAACTCTGGGCGGAGGCATTGTTTCTGGCCAAAACCAGAGGCTGTCCCACAAAAAAGGTGTGTTTTTTTTAATAAAAAAAAGGGAATATTTTTATGTGGGAGAAACAGAAATCTGAACGTGACTTTTGACATGCCAAGAAAGAAAGAAATTCTCATTCAGGGCAATATTTATGGTAATATTTCATGGAATCAACTGATAAAATCTGAATAACAAGGTTTCTTGGAAACCATTAAAAAAATATTTGGATTAAAAATGCTTAAATTAAATGTAAAATTATATCATTAAAGTCAAGCCATAACTAATGCTTACTATAAGTTGTTTAGAATTTATAACTTAGTTGTTAACGAAAAGAGTTTATTACTGCTCTTGTTCCAAACTAAGACATTAAAACCCAAAGCCTTCGGTGGTAATCCTTTGATTTTGCCACTTAATATATTCCAGCCAGCCAACAGCTTTTAACAAATTATAAATAATATCCAGTTAATTGTTGTTTAAATCAGATTTAATGGTTTCTTCGAGGCGAGCATAAATCTTGGCAGGCATTAAACTAGCTGGCACCTATGTATCTATTAAAACCCCATAACGCCACACAATTAAATGTAAACTGAAACTGTGTCAGCCATGTACGAGAAGAGGCAGTTGCAGATGCAGATGCAGATGCTGTTGTCGATATAGAACTATCCGTGGTCGAAAGGTCGAAAGTGTTGGCTATCAACTGTCGAGATGAACAACAACAATAGACAACTTCAGTATCATTAAAAGACAATAACATTGTTCAAGAATTTCAATTGAATGAGTCAAGATCAGCAGCAGGGCAAAAATAAAAACAAAAATAAGTTGAAATTGTCGCAACAATTCGTATAAATCTCTTTGCGCCACTTTGAATGCTAAGTAAACCAGCAGTGGTGGCGACCACCACACATCGTCATCGGTTTTTAATCGCTGCAAAAATCACCGAAGGCCATCTTGGACATTTCATAGTCGCAATCCCGCGATCACCCTTCCCCTCTCCTCATATCACCAAAATACCCGCTCCCTCCGATTTATAAGCCAAATCAAAACGAACCCGAGACGACCATCCGAACGGATTGAAGTCATTTTTGAGCGCATCTCAACCAGTTGCTCGAATGTTAATGTATCTGTATCTGTGACCGCTTCTACCTATATGCCTATATCTGTGTGTTGGCCAATACCTGCGGTTTGCCACTTGTCGCCAAAATGCACTGAAAACAATTAGTAAGATGTTAAAATGATGATTACTAGACTAATGCTCTTTTTACTCTCCTTTAATCAACATTTTCTTTGCTTGTTTTTCTTTTCTAAAAGGTGAAACCTTTAAAATATTTCCAGAACTTTATTCCCTGTGTACAGGTGCCTTGGGATCTTGCCCAAAAGCGCACCGGCAATGGGTCAACACTTTGCAACCCAGTGTCCACTTTGTCATTATGCAAAAGCGGATTCGTTAAATTAATGAAAAAAATTATACAAAAATACAAAAAAAAAACCACCATTGAAGAGGAAAAATTCACTGCAACCCGAGCTGGTTAGAAGCGGTGTCGAGATATTTGCATGAAATTCTAATAAAAGAATTCTGCCGTTAAGGTGTTAG